TTTACTAATACAATAGTTAATCACAATTGTGATGCATTTATTTATGGGGAAATTTTTGGAAAGTCCTTCTCTTTCGACCATTTTTTTCCCCTCTCAACTTCCCACCTTATTTAGTTCCGAATTTGACACAATATAGACCAACAGAGAGGAAGAGTCTTACATTACTTTTTTGTAACCCGTTGACTGGATGTTTGCCTTCAGATCACTGACTACCTTGCCCTTTAGCTTGTTTAATTTTCTTCTGCCTCTGAGCCACTGTCTCGCCTCAGCTTGACATAGCTGTAATTTGAGAATTTGCTGTGGATCACAGGAGGGGGAAGGGCAAGAAAATGGGGAACCTTTATCTTCTCATCAGTCAACTCCTCTATTGTTAGACAAAAATCTTTGGATTCCCTATTCCTCCCCACCCTCCCCAAAAGCTATCCCTTTTTCTACCACCACCCCCCGCCCCAAAGAAAGCCAAACCCGCTGCAGTTTTCCATTCTTTTAGTGCATTCTGGGAGTGCCCAACTTCCTCTCTCGCTGCGTATCAGAACTTTCCACTGAATCTTGGCAGAAAAATACCTCCAAGTCATTGTCCGTTTGCAATCAATACAACTTTAACTGTTAAAAGGTGCCTTTCCCACAAATAAGCACCTCTGAAGTATTTCCAGAACGTTATTGTTAAATGAGTGACAGAGCTGCAGGTTGGTATCACCTTTTATTCTGCAAAGTACAACTTTAGCTGTGTGTAGTGCTTCTGAAGTACGTGAACCAGACGTTCCTGGTCACATTACTCTGTTTAAAAGCAGCATCAAATGATGAGTGTTTTCACGCATTCTACAAGTTCACATAGTGTTTAGATAAGGAATTTAATTTAGAACACATTCAAATTTCATAAGCCATTGTTTAATGAGGCTTTACTTAAACATAGCACTGTTATGGCTTTGTGCACGCACATGAATCAGACCTCCAAATTCACATATTCAAAAGACACTTTTGAATATGTGAATTTTCTTTAACTGTATACCTACTTTTAGGGCACACTAGTATGCTAAAAAGCTGAGTTAATCTTAATCAGAAAGTTAGTCACAACTTTGAGGGATCTGATATGGTTCAGAGACACAAGAAATGTTTGGAAATGCAGGGTTCTAGGTTTGTTGCTTTTAATGCTTGCCTTTTACTGGTAGGTTAGCTGCTGCTAGTGCAGTAAAATGCCGGACGTTTCTCGAGACTTGCAGTAGATGATGGATTGGGATTTATGGGTTACCGCACAGCAGGAAGATCAGCAACAAGTTTATTGAAAAGCCACAGGAAACACCATCTGCACTTCTGATGCTTAGTGAAAGGAATGCCTTTTGGATTTTTGAAGAGGGGGAAAAAAATGACACATCTCATGTCTTTAAGTGAGAGAATGTGGTGGTGACTGGCCTTTGAGTCTGGATCTGTAATGGGACACAGTAGCAGGCTGGATGCTAAAAAAAAAAGCATTGGAATGTCTGATATACTGTTGTTTGTAGCAGTTTGTTACTGTAAGATAAAAGTAATGTTGTTAGCTGTGCAATGCTTTAATTCCCAATAGATCTCATGTAAAACACCTCCCTGAACCAATTTTCAGTATGACGTATTTGTGTGGCAATATAAGACAAAGTAAAGGCAAAGAGTTGCCAAGTTTAAGATCGGTCCTTCCTCTTGTGTTGCGGTCAAATTATCCATTCTGTATTAAACGTCTAATGTCATTAGAGTTGGAGTAACTTCAAAAGTTGGTTTGTTTGATGTAACCAACAACCTGCTGCTGTGCGTGAGAAATGTAATTGGAGCTGGACAAAGAATAAACCCTTAGTATTACACCAGAGGCTTGTTTGTGGACAGAAAAAGACATGCTTTCACTGATGTTTTCCTTTTCTTCGATGAGGATATTTTCCTGCAAACATTGAAATAATCTACACTACTTGGATCATAGGATGCCAAAGCCTGACTCAGTTAGTAGCAATCTCGCCTCTTGAGTCAGAAGGGTCTGAGTTCAAGTTCCACTTTGGGATTTTGAACTCACCATCTAGGTTGACATTTCAGTGTAATGCTGGAGGTGGAGTGCTCTGCATTATTGGAGATGCTGTCGTTCAGATGAGATATTGAACCAAGGTCCTGTCTGCCTGTTTAGGTGGATATTAAAGATCCCATGGCATTACCTAAAAAGAGAAGGGAGATTCTCCAAGTATCCTGGCCATCAATCCCCTAAATAAAATTGGTTGCTCGCTTCATGACTGTTTGTGGGACACACATGAGCTGCTGTGTTCGCTTACAAATAGACATTTACTACACTTTACAATAAAATCCTGTGAAGCGCTTTGAGCCACCCTCCTGGTGTGAACGGCATTATTATTAAAGCACTTCTAAAAAGTTTCTCTGGCAGTAGGAAAAGAACAGTGTTCATAAATCACAGCCATTACTTTCTCACTGCTCCTTGCTGCTTTTTGTAATGGAACTTAATTGAAGCTGTCTTAATCACAACTTTCTGGTGTTATGACTTCTAGCTCTTGAAGTCTGTGTTGTGTTGGAGGAGAGAGAGGAGGAGAGGATGAGAACATTTAAAATAATTCAGATGTACAGTTTTATTTTTTTAATTAAATTTAATCTTATGTTCGGTAGTTGAGGAGTGCTGGTGCTGGGTATTGGATCATTTTCTCATTTCGGGCATATCATGTTGGTATCTAATATTTTACTGTTGGGTATAGCACCATTAGATGCCACTGTCCCATCCTCAGCAAGAACACAACCTCCTGTACCAATGTAGCCATTGCCATTTTGTATTCCAGTCATTCTAACACTCAAATGAAATTGAAAGGTTGTGAATTAGAAAATGCAAAAAGATTTTATTCAAAATATTTCTGTCTCCATTGTTAAATAGACCACAAATACTTTATCTCTGTGTCATTATAGTGACAAAGCCCTTATCCCCCATAAGTTTGTTTTATCACTATCTCTATTTCACACAAACTCAGACTAAAACTTAGGCAATGACTGAAATATGTGAATCTTGCCACCAATCAATCTTTAAACCTTGGAGTACGATTGAGGTTAGATTTGATCCTGAATTTGACCTCCATTTCCCACTATGAATGACCTCAGATTGCAAGTTCCAAATTAGCACTGACTTAAACCAGATCCACCTCCGTGGTAGGTCTCACATCAGTGCCAATTCAGATGCCTGCTGGTACAAGCTGCCTTGTTGCCTCAATCTCAAAAAGGAAAACATTCCTTTTTATTCTCACTTAGTCATCTGCGCTGACGTCCCTCCATCGTCTCCATATTTATTCTACAACTTATCAGTGTGAAAATATCTTAGAATGGGCATGATTGCCGCATGTGCACGCAACATCTAATGCACAGCATATAATGTGCATCTCATGATGATGAGTGTGCGCCGATTGAAAGCATGGCCATTTACTACTGCGGGCGGGGCTTCATCCATTTGACTCCTTTTAACCTTGCCCTAATATGTAAGGTGGACCGAGCTGGACATGTAGTGGGAAGCATACCAGACAGTGCTTTCCCTCCTGATTGGCTCCTGTCAGTGCCTCCACACCTCAGGTGCTGACAGCATCGCCACCCATGGATGCACTATACACCTCACTCAGCCTGTCCAGAATTCTGGTGTCTTGTTGGACCCTCAAATGTCCTTTCTACCCCAAACTATACTTTACAGTATATTCTGTGAAGCGCTTTGAGATGTCTCAACGGTGCGATAAGGCGCTATATCAAATGCAAGGATTATTATTAATATTAAAGCGGAGAAGTCTGTGTGACTTGTACCTAAAAATTGTATTTATTATCATCAATAAGGAAGCTTGTTTTAAGTTCAATAAAAAAATCTTAAAATGCTGTGGTTTAAAGCACTGCAATTTGAAACAGGATTCCTTACCCTAACTGGAAGCACATCACATTGACTAGCAGGAATTCCACTCCAAAAGAAGTTGTCACAGCAAAAAATTAATGGGAATTATTTCCATATTCCTGAATTAAAGAATCCTTGTATTCCAACAGTATCTCAGATTGTTCCTTTTGCTTCTGCTGTAAATGACTCCCTAAAATATTGGTTGAAGATTACAAAATTCAAGATACATTTTGTTTCTAGTTTACAACAACAACAACAAGATTCCATTTATTGAGCGCCTTTCACGTCAGGAGGACGTCCCAAGGCGCTGTACAGTTGGGTCAGGACCCGAGTAAGGGGGAAATGGTCAGGGTGAGGGGAGGGAAGGGAGGGAGCGAGGAGGGGGTAGAGAGTCGAGAGGGGAGCTGAAGGCACGGTCAAAGAGAAAGGTCTTGAGACCGGCCTTGAAGGAGGAAAGGGAGGAGGCGGCGAAGGCACTGGGGGATACAGTTCCAGAGCCTAGGGGCTGAGAGGCTGAAGGCCCGGCCACCGATGGTAGGGCGGTTGGGGCGGGGGATGTGGAGCAGACCGGAGCCCGAGGAACGGAGGGTACGGGCAGGTAGGTAGGGGGATAGTAGGTCGAGAGGTAGGAGGGAGCAAGGCCATGAATGGCCTTGTAGGTGAGGGTGAGGATCTTGAATTCGATCCTCTGGGGGACGGGGAGCCAGTGGAGGCGAGCGAGGGTGGGAGTGATGTGGTCCCGAAGCCTGGTGCGGGACAGTACATGAGCTGCAGAGTTCTGAATGACCTGCAGCTTGTGGAGGGAGGTGGTGGGAAGGCCGGCGACGAGAGAGTTCCCATAGTCCAGCCTTGAGGTGATAAAGGCGTGGACCAGAGTTTCAGCAGCGTGAGGGGTGAGGTAGGCCGTAGTCTGGCGACATTCCGGAGGTGATGGAAGGCGGTGCCAGTTGTGGCGCGGATATGAGGGAGAAAGGACAGCTCAGGGTCGAACAGAACCCCGAGGTTCCTGGCTGGCTTAGTTTAGAGGAAAATCACAGTTGCATTGCAAACTTAATGGAGAATATTTTAGTAATTATAATAAATGTAATTTGTTTTGTATGACTAACACACTCCTCATTGATTACAGTATGCTCGCAGAGAAGCTGAATATGACGCCTGAAGAAGCTGAGCGATGGATTGTCAACTTAATTCGGAATGCAAGACTGGATGCAAAAATAGATTCAAAACTGGTATGAGCTTATTTTGTATACATTAGATTGGTACAAATCATTTCAAATACATCACATATTAAAGAGAAAAATCAGGAGTCCTGTAGCTCAGTGGTTAGAGCACTCGCTTTGCAAGCGAGAGACCTGAGTTCAATTCCAGGCAGGGCGAAACCTTGGGCAAGTTTCCTTACTCCACACAGAGCCTAATAATAATCCCTCCAAAAAACAAAAACAATAATAAATTGGTCATTTTCAATCTATGACTGTTTGTGGGACATTGCTGTGCGCAATTGTCTGCCGCGTTCGCCCACAAATATACAGTCAACTCACTTTACAGTATATTCTGTGAATCGCTTTGGGACGTCCTCCCGACGTGAAAAGCGCTATATCAAATGCAAGGATTATTATTATTATTAAATGATAAAAGGACATCCAAACCCTCTTCCAGTCCATATGCAATCTCCTTGACCATGGATTCACCTGGTTCCTGAGAGAGTTTGCATAGGTGGGTATTAATTATCCAAGTGTATCGGGCAAAATTGCTCAATATTTATCCATTTTCAAACTAATTTCACAAAAGAACGAAAGGATTGGACTAAGGAAACCTTATTTAACCATTTTTGGCACAATCCATATTGGCTTTCAAAATGTAAAAAATTAGATAAAATACCTCGAAAGGAGTCAACTACAGGTGTATTGCGAAAGGATAGGGAAATGAGACTGAAAGGATTTCTCTTATAAAGTAGCTGGCACATACACGATAGGCCAGATGGCCTTCTTCTGTACTGTAAATTTCTATAGTTCTACATCCCGACCATTCTACGACACCACCCATCTCAAAATTGATAATTACTGTCGAGCAGAAAATAACCTTCAAGGCCCATCGAATGAACTTCAGAGGAAACTGTAATCCAAGTTACCTATATTTTCATGTGCATTGTAGGTGTCAGCATGTCTCAGTTGATAGAACTCTCAGATTTGAGTCAGAAGAGTGCAAGTTCAAGCCCCACATTTGGACTTTGAACTTGCGTAGGCCAGGCTGACTCCAGTGTAGTGTTAGAGGGAAAACTGCATCCTTAGAGGTACCATCTTTTGGTACAGTCTATAGTCTCATCTGTCTCGTCAGGTTGAAAATTTCATGGCACGGAAGGAAAAAAGAGAAGGGAGTTTCTCCCAGTGTCCTCATCAATAATCCCCCAAATAACATTGGTCATTCATTTCCTGGCTGTGTCTTGCACAGCAAAGTCCTACAAATAGCCATGAAGTGAATGATCAATTTTATTTGCGGATTGTTGGCCAGGACACCAGGAGATACTCCCTTCCCTTTTTCAAATAGTGCCCTGGGATTTTTACTGTCCACCCAAACAGGCAGATGGGACCTCACTTTAACAACAACAAAAACTTGCATTTATATAACGCCCAGAGTGCTTGACAGTGGGGAGCACGACCCGAGTTGGGGGTAGGGGGAGGTGACCATAGGCATGGTCGAAGAGTAAGGTCTTCAAACATGACTTGAAGATGAGTAAGGAAGGGGCAAGGCAGAGGGATAGAGGAAGAGTGTTCCAGAGTTTCGGGGCGTAGTGGCTAAAAGCTGGGCCACCGATGGTGGGGGGTTAGCAGGTGGGAGGGGTAGGGAGGTGCCAAGGCATGAAGGGATTTGAAAACAGGTGTGAGGATCTTGAAATCGATCCGTTTGGTGATAGGGAGCCAGTAGAGCCTGACTAGAACTGGTGTCATGGGGCAATGGAGTTTAGTGTGGGTGAGTATGCCGATGACGGAGTTTTGGATCAGCTGGATCTTGTGCATGGTGTAACTTGGGAGACCAGCAAAGAGGGCGTTTGAAAAGCCAAGTTGGGACATGACAAACGCATGGACAAATGTTTCAGCTGAGTCTGGGGTAAGGTGCAGTCGGAAGTGGCAATGTGGTGGAGGAAAGTGGTCCTGGTCAGGGACCGGATGTAGGGAAGGAAGGACAGCTATGGGTTGAATCTGACGCCTTAGGTTGCGCATCGGTTCAGTGAGTGTAAGGGATAGGCCAGTGAAGTCAAGGAGGTTAGAGCTGCAGGACAGAAAATGTTGACAGGAGCCAAGGAGCATGGCTTCTGTCTTGTCAACATTTAGTAGGAAGCAGTTTGCACTCATCCAGGCTCTGATGTCTGCCAGACAATCTGACAGAACATTGACTGACCTGGAGTCGCAGCTGGAGGAGAAGTAGATTTGTGTGTCATCCGCGTACATGTGGAAATTTACTCTGTGTTTGCGGATGACACCTGAACAGGCAGGTGGGAACTCACTTTAACGCCTGAACGAGTGGACAGCCAATGGATCCAACAACGCAGCAATCTCCTCAACACAGCATTGGAGTATCAGCCTAGACAATATGAGTTTAAAAACACGGTCTGGGGCTTGAACCCACAACCTTCTAATACAGAGTATTTAGAGTGCAACCATTTGATTGTTATGGTTATTAAAAATCATTATCAGGTGAATTGTGACCATCCATTGTCAGTGATGGTCCAGTACAGATTTTACTTTGCCTTTGGTGTTACCTTGTTCCAGGCAGGAAAAAAAAATGTTTCAAAATGACCTAAATAACATTAATATAAGACAGTGGTGGCCAACCTGTGACCAGATTTTCAGAAAATAGTACTATCCGAACAAGAATTCTACAGGAAATGAAGAGATGTGTGAAGCTTTGCTGCAGCTGTTTGGGACTTTTGCAGAATGTTCAAGTTGCATTTGCCCTACTCTTGTTAAATACTGGCAACTCTTGCTGCTGCTTTATTCATTGCATTTGGTACGCAGAGTATTGGATCAGTGCACAGGCCTCCGTGGCTTTGGGTTGTACTGCATTCACAAATATGCAGCCGGGAGTCAATTACGCATCTTATTTGGGACAGCCCCTTGTGAATAAGCAGAGAGTGTGGATAATCAGACATTATGTGAAATACAAATTGGCTGCTGTGCCAACTAAAATAATTATTCTGTCTCTATAGTACACATTGTGCCAGCCAACTGTATATTTTAGAAGTATAAAACCTACCCTTGCTACCAGCAAAATACACTTATGCATATGTGCACCAATTTACTAAAAGTAAATTGTCATTGTAAATTAACATGACATTTTTGTAGCTGGTGCTTAACCAAATTTTGACCTGGTATTTTTGATGCTGCAGATAATATTGAATTTTTGCCTATACAAATTCGAACACGACATTCAGACAGTCAGAGAACTGAGAAGAAGTTGCCGAGTTAGTTCAGCTGCTTTCCGAATGTTCCTCAAGAGGGATTCCAATTAGTTTGGATGTCCATATCCTATTGAAGGCTATATAAATGTAAATGGCCACTAATCTAACCTTTTGGGCATCAAGGAAACTAATGTGTTTCGAGATGATGAGATTGAAAGTAGACATTTTCCTCTTCTTGGTGATAAGATAATGTTTTGGTCAGAGCAGCTTCAAATTGTCTATCAGTTTTTATGAGCTTTGTTCAGTGGAATTTGAGCAACTGTGATGTTTACTCCTTTGTACTCTGTTGAGATGACACCAGTTGTTTGGGACAGTTAAAATAAATGAGCCAGGGTCATTAAAAACTCAAGCATCTATGGCAGCTTTCTAGTGGTCAAGCTTTTGAAGGAGTCTTTTACATTTCTGCACCTCATCCTGATTCAACAGATTGGATTGTCTCTTTTCAATGGTCGTGGAGACTGGATTTCAGCTAATGCTTAAAATACACTCTGCTTTATCCTGCAGGGCAAGGTATGTTTTATAGTTCTGACCTTTCAAAAGGAGAGGTTGAGTTTGGGTCTACTATTAGGGTTAGATCTAATGACGGCAAATTGATGCCAAAGGTACAAACTGAACTGGCTGCTGAGCCTTTTCATTTGACTCTTGGATTAGAGGTAGACTAGACTTCACTGTTCTTTTTGGTGCACAATTTTCACTATTTATCTTGGCTAATTCTTCAGTACATTCTTCATTAAACCAGAGCAATGATCTGGTGCCAGTGTTTAGCTGCTTGCAATGGATTTAGTGCTAGATACAATCTACTTGGTCTGGGTGTAGCTTAAACTTGGACATTGACGTTATTGACATTGGCTCAATCTGCAGTGCATTCTTCATTCAGCAAGTACTATGAGCTGGTGCCAGTTTCTTGGATTGGATGTAGCACCAGATGCCATTTATATGGCCGGAGTTTAGATTAATCCTAGATTTTAATGATGATTTGTGCAATACAAAATTTCTTAATATTTCTTTGAATATGTCAACAGAATAATAATAATCCTTGCATTTGATATAGCGCTTTTCTCGTCTTCTCGATGTCTCAAAGCTCTTCACAGAATAGACTGTAAAGTGAATTGATTATATATTTGTGGGCGAAACGCAGCAGCCAATTACGCACAGCAGTGTCCCACAAACAGTCGTGGATTGAAAATGACCAATTTATTATTGTTTTGTTTTGGAGGGATTATTATTAGGCGTGTGGAGTAAGGAAACTTGCCCAAGGTTTTGCCCAGCCTGAAATTGAACCCAGGTGTCTCGCTTGCAAAGCGAGTGCTCTAACCACTGAGCTACAGGACTTCTTGTACATAAAGACCAGCTAATGGTCAGATGTTCCAACTAATGTTTTAATATGAGAAAAGGAAGTAATTTCTAATTGTAAATTTTTTTCCAGTTTAAGATTGAATCCTTTAACACCAATAGAGAGCACAGTGAACTGGACATGTTTCCTCCTCCTTAGCAATTCAGGTGGTAAATATAGGTGGTGAAACAGTCACCTTTGTTGCCAAAAGTTCCTTCCAAGGTCCTTGAGAAGTAATTCTATCTGCAGATTTGGAATCTGTGCCTGCACTTTTCTCTGGATTTAATAGTGATACAAGGGCAAAAGTATATCTTTGGATAAACTATGCAGTGATAAAGTCAATACATTTGGGGATGGAGGAAGAGACCCAAAGTATTTTTGTTGTACCATTTGTACCACTATTTAAATTGCTTTAGTCACATGTATTGTGACCAAATGCTACCACTGGACCTCTTACTCAAGTCCACACATCTAAATGACATCTCAGCTTTATATTTTCAGAGCAGGGAAGATTTTGTGACTCTGCATTCAGTAGTGTCATAAATTAATGTTTAAACATTAATCTGCTGTTGTCAACTTTCATAATGTAGTAGAACTCCATTAAAGATTTGCTTTGCTGTAACAGCGACAGGCCAAAGGTGAAAGTTTGAGTGGTAAAAGGGGAGGAAACTATGTGACTGTCTGGTGGGGGGTGGAAACACTGCATTAGTGTCATCCTACTCTTCTATCCTCCTTGGTCTGTGTCTGCTTCGATATATTACTCAATTTGAAGAATGCTATATAAATTCAAGTCGTTGTTCAGATTGGAACAAACAAGCAAGTAAGAAGGTCCTTGTCTAATTTATTAAGGACAACAGTAGAAGTAAAAATGTTGTAATTGGCCTCATCTTGGGAAACAAAAGGTAAAACCAGCCAGGGTTCCATTCTATTTAGAAGCTCCTCCTGGAGCTTTGAATATATAGTCAACATCTGAGGATAAGTCTGTAAATGTGCCTATTTTCTCTTCAGTTTCCCCCCTCCCCCTCATTAAATAGTCTGTGGACACTCTCCGTTATGCTTGACAGATAAATAATTACTACTTAAACAAGGTACCAGATGTTAAATGGGACACGTGGAACTATACACTGATGGAGTAAAAATGAGTTGAGTGCCTTTAGGAGACAAGATGGGGGAGAAGTGAAGAAAATTGTCATGTTGTTTGTTTTTACAACCAGTAATTTCTTGAAACACTTTAACTAACTAAAATAAGAATTTTTAGACAGCATTGAGCAATGCTTTTAAAAATATTTGCAATTGTACTTGGTAGTCTTTTGTTGATATTTTAAAGTGAAATGCTCAGTGTGAATAACAATTTTAATCCTAGGTTTTGGGGAAATAATTGGAACTTTAAAATAAAATGAATAAACTGCAAAAATTGCCTGTTTTGTGCTTTTAAAAGTCAATTTGTTCAGACTGTTGTTTGATTCCTTATAATTGCAACCAGATGTCTCTTGTTAATACTGCTGTTCTGAGATATAAATGTTTTATCATAGCTCCAAAAAGTTACTCTTTTGCTAGTATATGGCAAAGGGATAGGCAATGAAATTAACTCTGTGAGATATTTTAATTTGTTTAATACATTTTTAAAATATTGAGAAATTAAATCCAGTTCATACAATACTAAAGGTGTCTTGACTCCCTCGTCACTCACCTTCCCCAACTCGGCTCCCACTCGCGTACAGCAGAATTTCTGCCAGTTTTGATTATCCACCATGTGATTACTCTGCATTATCGGAGATAAGTTCCACTGTATGCCCTTTTGGAGATAGAATAACCAATTATCAATGCAACGAATAACCTGGTTTGACTTGACAATTGCATCCCAAATTTTTGATTTGCTTGCTAATAGATTGCCTTATACTTGTGCTCAGTGGTCAATTTTATGATGCATTCTAGTTTCATATTTGGAATAAAAAGGAAATTTAATGAAAGATGATACCCGAAGTCTTGACCTATTTTTAAATTTAAAATATGTACCTGCAAAATTATTGGATGTCATTAAGTTGGACCTTATTTTAAATCTGTATAAATAATAATACTGTTCCTGCAAAGAATCGTCACATGCATATGGAGTTTATTAAAAATTTCAGCTGGTACCTAACTAACTTTCTATTTCAGGGCCATGTAGTAATGGGAAACAATGCGGTGTCCCCATATCAGCAAGTGATTGAAAAGACAAAGAGCCTCTCCTTTCGCAGTCAGATGTTGGCTGTGAACATTGAAAAGAAAATGAACCAAAACAACAGGACTGAGGTGAGCTGTGGGTCAATGTTTGAAATAGCAACGGGGGAAAGGGAGGGAGCAGTCAGCCTCTTTACCTCCACCTGAATCTCAAAGCAGACAAAACTTGATTTAGTAGCAGTAAAATAAAATGATTGGGAAATAATTAATAAGCTTGCACTTAGCATAGAATATTGTGCAGACAAACTCAACAACTATTCTGCACCAGCAACGTATTACAAAAAGTCAAATACATTTCCAATTTTCAGTGCAGCAGAATATGCAAAATGAGTTCATTATGACCCCCATAATATTATCAACAGCCATTCAGTAAAATCCCAAATGTCTGGTTCTAATAAACAGTAACTGAGCTGAATGTTGTAATAATGAAAAGCTTAAATTACTGTGATTGATTATAAAATGTATAATGTAAAATAAGTGACTTGAAAAAGGACATCTGGAGACGACTTAGCGATGCTGCACAATGTTTGTTTGAATGAGCCGTATTTAAATGTAAATTGTATTTACAAACATGTTTAGTCAAATATTACTGATTGACGTGCACTTGAAAACATAGTAAAGCATCGATTGAGCAAAGGTCAAGCCTGCTCACTCTACAGCCCTTTCTGTATCATGGATTTCACCCCATTTCCTTGGAGGAAGTCTGCAAAAATATTTTGTGAATCTCGAAGGCAATTGTGCAAATTCAGCAGAACGTTCTCCACTATCCAAATCTGATCTCCTTTCCCTCTACCAATATCTCTTATATTCTTAACCTCAGTAGCACAGAAATATAGTTCTCTCATATGTTGCTTATCCACATTGTCCATGCCTTTTATGCAAGTCCTGTGAAACCATCTTTATCTAGAATGTTTGACACAGCAAATCAAACTCACAGCTGATAGTACAGTACATACTTCAAGACATTACTGCTTGTTCTCATATTGGCATCAGCATCTAACCTTGAGTCCAACCAATTTTGTCACATGGGTGGACTTGTTATTTCCACTGCAGTAGCAACGTATATCAAAGTCATTGTTTTAGAGCTGCTTGTGAATTGAGCTGTTCCTCATAGAATCATAGAATTATACAGTACAGAAGGATGCCATTCGCCCCGTCGTGTTGGTGCCGGCTCTTTGAAATGAGCTATCCAATTCAATCCCACTCCCCGCTCTCTCCTGCAATCTTGTCCTCCCCAAATAATTATCTACTTCTCTCTTAAAAGTTGTTATCGTATCAGCTTCCACCACCCTTTCAGGCAATGCATTCCAGATCCGAACAACTCGCTGGATGAAAACATTTCTCCTCACTTCCCCTCTGTGTTTTTTAACAACTATTTTAAATCGGTGTCCTCGGGTTACCGACCCACCCGTCAGTGGAAATAGTTTCCCCTTGTTCACCCTATCGAATCCCCTCATAATTTTGAAAACTTCTATTAAGTCTCCTCTTAACCTTCTATGCTCCAAGGAGAATATTCCTAGCTTCTCTAACCTCTCCTCATAACTGAAGTCCCTCATTCCTGGTACCATTCTGGTAAATCTCCTTTGCACCCTCTCCAATGCCTTGACATCCTTCCTAAAGTACTCTAGCTGAGGCCTAACCAGTACTTTTGTATTCTACGCTCCTATTTATAAAGCCTAGTGTCCCGTATGCGTTTTTTAACAGTGTTATCTCCCTGTCCTACCACCTTCAACCATTTGCTTATATGAACCCCCAGGTCTCTCTGTTCCTTCACCCTCTTTAAGATTGTACCATCAGCTTTTATTGCCTCTCCTCATTCTTCCTCCCAAAATGCATCACTTTGCATTTCTCCACATGAAACTTCATCTGCCACGTGTCTGCCCATTTTACCAGTCTGTCTGTGTCCTCTTGCAGTCTATTACTATCCTCCACTGTACTATTTTTCTTGCTTAGTATCATCTGCAAACTGTACTCCCTGTACCCAAATCCAGGTCAGTTTGTACCTAAGGACAACCTATGGACATTCCAAGTAATGTACAGCTTTGTATTGCTTACTAGCAAGTGACTCTTCTGTTATTTGGACCCTCCCCTTTTGGGGATGCAACCAATACCAGTGCTCCACCCAGCCCCCACCGCACCAGCTAGCGATGCGAAGCCAGAGAAAGGAGAGCCCAGAAAACAATTGTTTACATAAAGGTTCATAAGGATAAAGAACGGGCTGCTCAGATGTCCATAGGTCCAAACTGATTTTCAAAAATTGAGTGGTTTGGCTGGGTACACGGAGGGTAAATAAACCACAACGGCTGTTAAAACAGTATTTAAGGAGGAATTTGAATAAATACTTGAGGAAACATAATCCAAGGCTATGGGGAAAGAGCAGGAGAATGGGATTAGAATAGTTTGCTCTATTGGGGGAGTAAATATCAGAAAAGACATTGGAGGTTGAATGGCCTCTTTCTGAGCTGCAAATTTTCTATGATGCACCATGTAGGTCTAGTAAATATGGCCCGGTTTGCTTTCTTGACTTTATTAGTCTGTACCTAGTGATGAGAGCAGCCAGTCACCAGGGAGCAGCAAACTACTTAACTTGTATTGTAGTATAGGACATTATTTCACAGATTTTAGCCCTTGAGGGCTTAATTTACTGCATTTTGTCAATGTAGAGTATCAAGAAAATAACCTGATGCGTACATCTGCACAAAGCAATGCCTCATCCTAAGAAGTCCCAGTACTCACTAGATATGCTACTTGCCTTGTACTTTCAGAATTTTTCCATCTCTTACCCAGTATATGTTGACCTAAGTATATTTAATATGTGAGCACATCTGTATATGACAAGCCATTCAATGATCTACATGGGAACAAACAAGGCCATTTAGCCTTCTCTGCCATCCTACAACTTATCAGTTTAAGGCAATATTCTCTTTTCTCATCCCATTTCCCTGCCTTTTCTCCATTCCCGTAATATTACTCCTCCCCCCCACCCCCCGCCACCCCAGCTATCACCATAGTAGATGCCTCCAATTGATTCTGAATCTATGGTATCTAGCTTGAGACTTTTGTGTCTAGAAATCTTTTACCGACTAAAAATAATTTCTGGTGTCCTGGCCAATAATCGCCCAAATAAAATTGGTCATTCACTTCATAGCTGTTTGTGGGACATTTCTGTGTGCAAATTGGCTGTTGCTTTCACCCACCAAATACACGGTCACTATAATTTACCTGTGAAGCACTTTGAGACGTCCTCCCGAGGTGAAAAGCACTAAATCAAATGTAAGAATTATTATTACAATCCTATTAATAAAAGGAGTATGTTTGGGAGGATAAACTGGCATTCTGCCATTTCCTTCAGTTCCTTACTCCCAAATGCACTGTTTTTATAACCCCTCTACTTTCAATCTACAAAAAAACCAAACTTTGGTCTATTTTACACAAGCAGATTTTAATTTTTTGTTTTGCATTTTCTCACAGTTTTCTAATTCTGTCCACGGGTACCAAAATTACCTTTCGCCTGCAGAGGGGAGGTGAATGAACATTAGATTGATTCTCAGATTTATTCACTGATCTAAGAACTGAGACGGACTACAATACTGATAGTAGAAAGTGTGGGACTCTTCAATAACTGAAGTCTGAGCCAATCCAAAACCTTGGCATCTTGTTTGACCCTCAACTGTCCTTTCTAGCCCATATCAGTGTCATGGCCTGCTCTGCCTTCCCCCACCTCCAGAATATCGCCCGGCTCCGCCACTGCCACACCCCTCAGGCCACCGAAACCCTCATCCATTAATTCATCACATCTAGGCTCGACTATGCCAAGTCCTTGCTTTTCAGCTTTCCCAACTCTTCTCTTCACAAGCTGCAGATCATCCATAATCTGCAGCTTGTATCCTCTCCTGCACCAGGCTCCGCAACCCTATCACTCCACCCTTATCTGGCTCCACTGGCTAACCATCCCCTAGAAGATAGATTTCAGAATCCTCGTCCTTGCCTTCAAGGCCCTTCATGGCCTTGCTCCTCCCTACCTCTGACCTGCTGACCCTATATCAACCTGTCCGCTCAACAGGTTCTAGCCTGCTCCACCATCGACAGTCAGGCTTTTAGCTTCTCTGCCCCCACCCTTTGGAACTCCATCCCACCATCCCTTTGCCTCGCTCCCTCCCTTGCCTCCTTCAATTCACATCTCAAGACCCTCCTCTTCAACCGCGCCTTTGGCCACTCTCCTACCCTCCCTGCCCTCCACCCCCCTGATCCCAACCCCTGCTTGGTTCCAAATCCTTGACTCTGCAGCACCTTGGGATGTCCTCCCGATGTGAAAGGCACGATACAAATGTAATTTTGTATTTTTTGTATTGTCTGTTGTATGAATTGGAAAAATATTTATCTGCTGCTGTGAGAACTGTTAGCTCCAACTGCCTAGTTAACAAAAACATGGCTTCCTTTTCTCAAACTTTGAATTGATTTATTTGAGTAAGCCACGGCATGTACCCTAATCAGTATAACATGGCAGGTGAAAGCTCCAGCTGTTTGTACCAGCAATCCTGTAATTAGAGGAAAAGATGACTAGCTCGGTGATGACAAACTAAAAGCTGCCTTTGGTCTCCTCAACTTCCTCAGGCTGTATAAGGCTTTCCTTCTGTGAATTGGTTTTGAGATTTTTTAATAGCTGCACTAAAGAAAACTTCCCAGTCATGCCATGCTGTATTGCAGCATTGTCTCTGGTAAAATACTGTAACGACTCTCGAGATGGTGCTTGGAAAATTGCAACAGAAGTGTAGTCTTTGCTGACCCAAGAAATGAATGCAGTGCCCGGTGAGAGAATGTTTGGTTCCGCTCGCAAAGCTCGACTGCAGTTTTTAACTGCTCCGGTGAAATATGTTAATGTGTTACTGTTTGACAAAGTCTCTTAGGATGAGATTATTTAGGAGTTTAAGAAATTAAGTTGTTTAATCTTCCAGAGTTCAGGTGGTTAAGATTCTGGGATTTCTGCACACTCTCCTGTCCTCTGAACCATCATAATCATTAGATTCAGCTCAAAGCAATTTATCCGTCATTAAGCAATTGAATGTTCAGCA